ACAGGAAAAGATCTGGGAAACGTTGTTTTTTTTTTAGCATCCGAGCAAAGGAATGAATGGAAAACCATGATCGCCGATGTCTGTCGCAGATCTGGCACTGTGTGGGTGGGTTCGTGTTTGTGTGTGCTTATGTATGTGCTTATGTGTGTGCTTATGTGAGTGTGCTTATGTGTGTGTGTGTGTGTGTGTGTGTGTGTGTGTGTGTGTGTGTGTGTGTGCGCGCGCGTGCGCGCGCGCACGTGCGCGCGTGTGTGTTAGTACCTATGTAATGTCTATAGTAGTTTATAGACTGAAGGCTTGTATCTATAAACGGAGAGAATTTTATAGCAAGAGATACAAAAGCAGCTCAAGATGTATTGGCTTTTTTTCTATTGAACAGCTTTACATTGTCGTGATCTTTCCCTATTGACGAGCGTCTGATTTGACCAAGGCAACAACACGTATGACTGTCCCAGTGATTTTATGCGCCTCGCATAATTTAGCAAATTTGCATCTCTTTTTTTTGTGCATAATTTCTGATTATTTTCCTTTATCATTCTTTGTTAAAATCAGCATAATCGCATAATTTCCCATTGTTTGGCTCAGTCTGCATAATTTCTGATTTTTTGGGGCATAAAACGGAGGGGATAGATAAGATGATACAAATACTTCCACATTCCCAAAAATTGACGAGCTCCCGATTCCACCAAAGCTAGAACACATATGAGTGAGTTAAATACAACACGCTACCCGCCCCCACCCCCCCCCCACCCACCTGGCGTATCTTGTGGGGGGTGCATTTGGCGTCGCCGGTGAAGTTCATCCAGTGGTGGTCGAAGAAGGACGGGAGCAGCCAGACGACCTTCTTGTACCAGGCCTGGTCGGAGTCTCCGTCCTCGGAGTCGTACACCTGTACGTGGTACATACGCCATGAGGTATATACGTCATGTGGAACATGCATCACGTGGTGCATACGTTACGTGGTACAGACGCCACGTGGCACATACGTCACGTGGTACATACACCACGGGGTACTTAGGTCGCGTGGTATGTATGTCACGTGGTACATAGGTCACGTGGTACATAGGTCACGTGGTACGTGCATCACGTGGTACGTGCATCACGTGGTACATACGTGATACATACGCAACGCAGAACAAACCTTTCCTGGTACATACGTCACGTGGTACATACGTCACAGGGTCATCATGGTACATTTAATAATGATAATAATAATAATGATAATAAAAATAACGATAATAATTATTTGTTATTGTTTTTCTGTTATATTATAATCATTCTTCTTCTTCTTCTCCTTCTTCTTCCTCTCCATCTTCTTCTTCTTCTTCTTCTTCTTCTTCTTCTTCTTCTTCTTCTTCTTCTTCTCATCAATTTTAAAGCTATTATTGTTATTATCATAATTATCAGAGATAAACTTGCCACACATCTAGACCTATGTGCTACACAATAACAGACTTACAGCACACATTACGCGTCTTGCCTCGTCCTCATAGAAACTCCCCAGGATTATACGTGCGTCTTTTTTCTGCAAATAGATATGAAACAGAAGTGACCATCATTATTCTGTTCTTCCTCTAGTAATATCTCTAATCTCCTGCACTCATACGTGAGGCTTTATGGTAAAATCCATTTAAAATCATATTTCTGTGTGGAGTTTACTGAAAAGCGTCGATCGAAGGTAAAAAAATATATGTTCAGTTTCTGAAGACTCCTAAGTTATGGAAATAACCAAACTTTGGAGAAGGACATTTTCTGGCTGATCATACCTCTGAAACCATACCAACCCCATATTTTTAATCGCAAGTATCTGGAATTCTATTCAATATAGATTCATATTTCATTTCACAAAAAACGAGATAAATGAACAAGCTCTGAGTTGATGCCAGTAACGCCACACGCCCCAACATTTGCAAAAGCCTGGTTCCACCGTGTTGCAGCACATGACATCAATATGTGTGTTGCAAGTGCCCTAAAACTTTAAAAACGAAAACTAAACTATCTAAAGTTACCCCATCCTGCGACCTAGACACGCTCTCCTGTGCTTTATTTATACGGACATAATATATGAGGCAGCGTGGTGGAATCAGGCTCTCGTCATTTTTTGGGCATGTAGAGTTATTGGTATCATCTTAAAACTTGTTCACCAGTTTTTATTTCAATGAAAAAAAACATCTATTTATCTTGAGTACAAGTTGAGATATTTGCGAATGAAGGAGGTGGGGTCACCTGTTTTCAGAGATAAAATTAATGAGAAAATGGCCGCCAAAGATTGGTTATTTCCTTAGCTTAAGAGTCCGTGGTGACTGAAAATTTACATGTTTTGTGCCTTTTATCAACGTTATTAAGAAAAATCCCTCAGAAATGAGTTCTTTAATGGGCATGAAAGGTGTTGAGCCAAAAAACAAAAGTTTGATAAAAATTGACAAACCTGTGGAAAAATGCAAGTTTCTTCACTTTGATTATTTTGACGAGAGCCTGATTCCACCACGCTGCCTCACATATATGTTCTTAACAACGTTATTGCTACTTTTGTTTTAACAAGAGTTTTTGTTCAGAGGTTTTAGTAGAGGTTTTACGGCGCTCCCAACTGCATAAGGTCATATGAGCTCCAGAAGATTAGAAGGTGTTTCAAGAGAGTAACAAACATAAAAAAGAAGAAGGGGAGATAAGGACGATAGATGTTTGATAGGAAAGAAGAAGCTAACCATACGTGAGCATCCGCCAACCATGGACAGCAAAACGTTTACTGCATTTGCAACACAATAAGATAATATAAATGCAGAAAACTAGATGTGTTACAGGAGGGTAACAAACATACAAAAAAACAAGTAGAACAGAAAACGACGATAAATGTTTGATAGGAAAGAAGGAGCAAACCACTCGCGAGCACCTGTCAACTACCCCCCCCCCCCCCCCATATGTTTATATTGCTTTAACAGACTTTAGAACACTAAAAAACATTCTCATCTTCCCGGAAAGCATACAGTTCAAGCTGCAATTTTACAGGTGCTAAAACACCAAGAGAAAAGTGGGCTGACCAGATCTCTCGTTGTCTTAGGCTGAGTACCCATTCACACCTGAGTGAAGTGAGGCTACTCCTTGTAAAGTGTCTTTCCCAAAGATATAACGAGGCCTACCCCCGAACCCACAAGCCAACGGGTTCTGTAGTCTAACTAGTCGTCTAATCACTAGACTGTCGACTCATTGTTCTGCTACAATCAGGGGCGAAGGCTGACTTGTTTGACAGGGTAATCAAAGTGAAACGGGACCAGATATGGCCTGTAGATATGACACAAGAATTACTCGAGGCGGCGACTCTGAGTTGTGAATGAAAACAAATCCGGAATTCATATTGTATGTTCAACCGCCAAAATAATCGGGAAAGTATCTTATTGAATATCAGTTACAACTAAAATTAAATTTAACTTTAGATGTGAATACATAAACACAAAGCAAAGAAGCAGAGACGTCAGTACTAGATCTATATGTTATAGATCTACCAGTGAGTCTAACTCTTTGGTAGAACATGACAATTATCATTTTTTAAATTTTACATTTGGCTGTTTTTGTTAGCCTTCCACGGCCAGGAGCTGGTGTCATAATTGAGGTCACGATCTGATTATAGGACGGTAAAAAGTCGAGGAAAAAAAGCAAGTACTTGCAACAGTGAAGAGATTGTTAGGAGTTAGTTCCCCTCACATTTGTGAGGTAGACTCGACCAGTGTTAGTTAGCTTACATAATCAGGGCTTGAGATTGATTTTAACTGTGACCCCAAAGGGGTGAACAGGGTATGTGTGGCAATGAAACAGCTTAGACTGCTATGCACATGTTCCCTTCAACTATATTGGTGGACTCTTCCAGCCTCACTTTAAGCTTACTTAATCAAAGCTTGCGACTGCTTATGGAGTGGCCCGAGAGGGGTGAGGAGGCTATTTCTGTGGCCGTGAAACCGTTTTGAATGTTAGGCATACTGTTCATTGTTGATTACGAACGTCTTTTGACATTTAATTTAAGAGGTTTACGTTTATGGATGAATTTGACAGCGACAATGTTTCAAAATTAGGAAGGGAAGCAGTGATTATTTGATTATATAGACGCTTCGCCCCTAGCTACAATCATCATCATCCAGTGCCAAATTTGCGACAGATATCGGCGATCATGGTTCTCCATTCATTCTTTTGCTAGGATGCTCTAAAAAAAAGCTACGTTTCCCTGATCTTTCCCTGTTACCCATTACTTTGTTTAGGTTCTCTAAGCACAATGTTTGTTGTTCTAGGCCTACCCCTGCTTTCGTTTGCCTTCAATTTTGCCAGTGAGAGCTAGATGTTCAAGACCGTTATGTCTATTCAGGTGTCCCAAAAACTGCATTTGTCGTTTCCTGAGTGTTGCTACAATGCTGTCGTTTATTTGCTACTTGCCTGCCACTTGTAAATTATCCACCGAGTAGAACTGAAAGTCTTTGCCGCACCCTGGTTGGCTATAAACGTCTCTGCTTGAAAATTCATCTACTTCATACAGGACACAATTTTTAACCACATCCGCATTTTTGAGTGTCAAAAGGAAAGGGGGGGGGGGGGTATAGGGCTGGAAGGGTGGGGAGGGTCGAGGGAGAGAGGAGGACGGAGTAAGAAGGGACAGGGTATGAGTGGGGGTGGTAGAAGTGTGGGGGTGAGGGAAGGTGGGGTGAGGAGTGGGTTGTTGTTTTTTAAAAGTTATTTTATTTCATTATTATATATAGGAACACGGGGGGGGGGGGGGGGGGGCAGATAGAAGGTGGAAGTAGGAAGGGATGGGTTGATTAGTGGGGAAAGGGGTGCGCTTGGGGGAAGAGGTGGGAAATTAGGGTTAGTCTAATTTGGGTTGATCCTTCTACTCTGTCAAAATGAGTGTACCCTACTGCTTCTGTTTTAGTTTTAGTAGAGGTATTACGGCCCTTACAACTGCATAAGGTCATATGAGCGCCAGAAAACTAGAGGTGTTACAAGAGAGTAACAAACATAAAAAAGGAGCGGAGATAAGGACGATAGATGTTTGATAGGAAAGAAGAAGCAAACCACAGCAGAGCACCCGCCAACCAACTACAGCTCTTAGTGTAAGGAGCTAGAAATCGCAAAGCTCAGCAGAATGTTTCCACAACTGCTCTTGCATTTTCCACAACTGTTCTGGCAAAGGCCCTCATAAATAACACAGGAGGGCAGTGTGTGTGTTTTCTACTTCAGTCGGGCCACCTGCAACATATTTGTCTGGGCCTTTTGGGGTTTTTTTTAAATTTTTTTTTTTTTTTTTTTTAAATCCGTTTCGTGTGAATTTCACGGACCCTTACCAGTGCGATAAGTTCAACATACCAGTATCATCTGTTCGCGTGATAGTTTTTGTGTGTCCCTAGGCCTGTACTATTCTAAAGACGTATCTATCTTTGGGAGGTTTTTTATTATTTTTATTATTTTTCATTTGAAAGGTGGCATTTTTTCTACCTATCGACACTAATGTTCAAGTTACAACATTTAGTTTTAGTTTTAGTAAAGGTTTTACGGCACTCGCAACTGCATAAGGTCATATGAGCGCCAGAAGATTAGAGGTGTTACAAGAGAGTAACAAACAAAAAGAAGAAGAAGAAGGGGAGATAAGGACGATAGATTTTGATAGGAAAGAAGAAATAAACCACACCAGAGCACCCGCCAACCACCCACGTTTATTCAGAGCTTTTCTCACTTGAAACAAGATTTATTGCAGATTTGACACTTTCTCGAGAGACAGCGGTTTACAATACGGAATCAGGAGAGGCTAGTGTGGAGAAATTTACATTAGTTTCAAAGTGATTTGGATAATGATAGCATCTATCTAGTAAGCTTTCAAAACGAGGGAAATGGGAAAGTGAAGATCTTCTAAATAACAACAACAAACAAACAGACAAACAAACAAACAAACAAAGAAAACTGTTTTATAAAAACTAAGACAGGAGAAACAGTTTTTAAAAAGCAATACAAGAACTAACAACTTTGTAAAAAGGTTCATACAAAAGAAAAAATAACATATTGAAAAAGAGTCAAAACAAAACAAATGTAGTTAATCACTTTTTAGAAAAACAAGTTTGTCTGAAAAAAGAAGAGAGCAAAAAAAAAAAAAATTTAAAAAAACAAAAAAAAGTCAAAACATGCAAAATAATCCCTCGAAAAAAAGGAATTGCATAAAAATAGAAAAAAATTAAACATTTTCTTTAGAAAAACCAATGTTATCCAAAAATACGAAGTAATAACCTGGAAAGGATAAACCTGGTTAGATCTATATAAAAATAGAAAGAAGATAAAGTATAGTTTCTTAACGAGAAAAAAAATATTTTAAGAAATTCAAAAGTATTACCTCCAAAAAACAAACAAACAAACAAACGGTTGTATAAAAAATGATAAAAGATTAAAATATTTTCTAAAAGAGAAAAAAACCAACAACAACAAAAAATGGTTGTATAAAAACAGAAAAAAATAAAACACATTTCCCACCGAGAAAAAAATATGGAAAGATGCAAAATAACCACCAGGAAAAACGAAAAAACTGGTTGTAAAAAAATGTTAAGGCATCTTTTCTTAAAGACAAAACAGATGCAAAATAATAACCTCAAAAAGAATTAAATAAAACATTTAAATAGCACAAAAAGCAACAACTCCCTCCCCCCCTCCCTCCCTCCCTCCACCAACCACACTTACTTTGAGAGTGTCCACCTTAAGTTTGAGGACGGAAGTACTGATGAGCATCTCGTCCTTGACCTCTATACTCTCGTTCTGAAGGTCACGCTGGATGGACTCGAACAGCTGACGACACATACAGAGGTGAGATTGTGACGTCAGTGGTCTAGTGGTTAGGCGAAGAGTCTACATAGCAAGAGGGGCCACCATTCTCTTTGAGCCAATTTAAAAAAGTGTCCTCAAAATTCGGTGGCGCCCTCTTCGAAAATGCGCACCCTTTGCGAACAGAGTTACCCTACTTGTGTTTAAAAGATCAAAGTGAAACTAACAAGTTTTTGAATAAATAAGAATCCAAATTTCGGAAGAACGCTTTTTAAGGTTACGGAGGAAGGGGTGACTGTTTTCTTCGTTTAATTTGACTTTAGAATGAAAGGCGAGAGGTCATTATAATTTTTGAAAACCCCTAACACTCTGCTCTAAACGAACCCGAACAGCTGATGAACAGAAGTCGATCTCCGCACTCAAGGAGGTGCTATTCCTATTCTTCTTCTGGAGAAACGAAAGAGAGCTTCAAAACAGACTGCAGCGCCATCTGAAGAAAAGAGCGGACTTCCGGCGGACACTTTATAGGCTGAGTGGACCATCTTGTTATGTACTATCTTTGGGTTAGTTTACCGGACTCGTAATCGTGAGATTGTGACGTCGGTTGTCTAGTGGTTAGGCTACCGGAATCGTAAGATTGCGGGTTCGTGGGTTCGAGCCTCAGCTCGGTTCGACGTTGTGTCCTTGGGAAAGGCACTTTACACGAGTTTCTCATTTGGCTCGGTCCTTTCGGAGATGGACGTTAAACTCGGAGGCCCGGCCTCTTAAGTAACCTAATAATGTTAATGGGGGCGTTCAACTGTCCCCGTGGTTTTATGCACTGAGCATAATTTAGCAAAATTTGACAATTTTTTTGCATAATTTCTTATAATTTTCTTTTATCATTCTTTGTTAAAATTAACAGAATAGAATAACTTCACATTTTTGGGCTCAGTTTGCATAATTTCAGAATTGTTCTTGCATAAAACGACGGAAACAGGCTAAACCTATACCATTTCACCCTCACCAAACGTAGGAGAATATAACAACTGAGAGACTCACAGTGGAGAAGAGTTTGTAGTCCTGGTAAATTACAAACAACATCCATGTGCAGTTGAAAGAGAGAGAGAGAGAGAGAGAGAGAGAGAGAGAGAGAGAGAGAGAGAGAGACAGAGACAGACAGAGAGAGTCAGAGAGAGAGAGAGAGAGAGAGAGAGGGTTGGGGGGAGGTGAGTGTGTAAGAGAGACTCACCGTAGAGAAGAGTTTGTAGTCCTGGTAAATGACAAACACTCTCGTCCAGTTGAACGCCCGGAACAGCTCCACTCGTGCGTGAGTCAAGTTCTGCTCCGGCGTCATCACGCGGAAAAATGACGGGAACAAATCCTGGTTGGACAGGTGGGGTGACACTGCCGAATACGATAACTGTGAGGGGAAAAGGCAGGGGACAGATAATTTATTCGTTCCTTTTTTAGATGAGACTTAAACAACAGCAACACAGTAAAATAAAATATATTTTTTTTAAAACATAAATTGAAAAAACCCCACAAAAAACCCAGGTTAATGTGTTGACTTTATTGCTGTCGAATGTGATAAACGATCCTGTCGAATGTGATAAGCGATCCTGTCGAGTACGATAACTGTTGAGAAGAAATAATTATACTGGAGAGGGGATTCTACCAAATACAATTACTGTGAGGCGATATTACTTAAATAAATTTTTCGTGATATTGACGAATACGATAAGCGTTATTGTCGAATACGATCACTGAGGAGGAGACAAAATGAGGAATAGGCTATTGCTGTTACTTGTAAGAGAGACAAATGTGGTACTGAGGGTGCACTATTTAATACAAACGGTTGAAGAGATACTTGGGGTGAGGATGAATCCTTTGTTCGAAAAAAAAAATCATGATACCAGCCCCAATTTAAAAAAGATGCCTGCAGAATACCTCTATGAACAAAATCAATTAAATTGTCCCGAAACATTTGTATCTATGAAAGAAAGTCAAGTTAAGAAGAAGCCATGCCCTTCATAAACAAAGGGAAGAGTAGGACAAGTCTTGCAAGGATTAATGTAACTTCTCCGGAATTTCACTTGACCCCTTTAAATTCTGAGGTGGAGAGATAGGGCTAAATGTGAGGCAGCGTGGTGGAATCAGGCTCTCGTCAATCTTTGGGCATTTAGAGTTATTGGTGTCATCTTAAAGCTTGTTCACTTGTATTTATAGGGATGAAAAAAATATCCATTTATCTTGAATACAAGTCGAGATATTTGCAAAAGAAGGAGGTGGGGTTCACCTACTTTCAGAGGTAAAATTTGTGAGAAAATAGCCGCCAAAGATTAGTTATTTCCTTAGCTAAAGAGTCCGTGGTAACTAAACATTTAGATTTTTTGTACCATTAATCAACGTTTTTCAGTAAAAAAAATACAAATATTTGAGTTCGTTAATGGGTATGAAAGGTATTGAGCCAAAAAACCAAAAATTTGATAAAAATTTAGAAACCTGCAGAGAAATGCAAGTTTTTTCACTTTGATTATTTTGACGAGAGCATGATTCCACCACGCTGCCTCACAAATGAAATCACAGTGGAAGAGACAGACAGCAGGGAACAGATGATTCATTCGGTCACTTGGGAAGAGATAGTTGCAGGGGTCAAGTGAAAAACAAGAAAAACAGGACAAGTTCTGAAGGATATCCAGGCAGCTGATGACTAGCACAATGAAAAACAAGGAAAACAGGACAAGTTCTGAAGGATATCCAGGCAGCTGATGACTAGCACAATGAAAAACAAGAAAAACAGGACAAGTTCTGAAGGATATCCAGGCAGCTGATGACTAGCACAATGAAAAACAAGAAAAACAGGACAAGTTCTGAAGGATATCCAGGCAGCTGATGACTAGCACAATGAAAAACAAGGAAAACAGGACAAGTTCTGAAGGATATCCAGGCAGCTGATGACTAGCACAATGAAAAACAAGAAAAACAGGACAAGTTCTGAAGGATATCCAGGCAGCTGATGACTAGCACAATGAAAAACAAGAAAAACAGGACAAGTTCTGAAGGATATCCAGGCAGCTGATGACTAGCACAATGAAAAACAAGAAAAACAGGACAAGTTCTGAAGGATATCCAGGCAGCTGATGACTAGCACAATGAAAAACAAGAAAAACAGGACAAGTTCTGAAGGATATCCAGGCAGCTGATGACTAGCACAATCAGAAATCCTTACATGGATTCTAGAGAGGAGGGAGGAACAGCTATGGCATTATTACCCCTTGCGATGAAACCTGTTCTCCAACCAAGTAACACAGTAACAAAGTAACTACAAGGATAAGTCCATTTGTGTGCCTTCAGATGCCGGTCGATGTAACGAAGTCAAAGAAACTGGCGTTTGTCCATCTGTTGGAGAATATCGAATTCTTTGTTTTGGTCTCTACACTTTTTATATGTCCATTAAAAACGCATTCCTTATTGGATTTTATAGAAAAACGGTGATTAAATTTGATCAAAGTCAAAGGCACACAAAAATACGAGCGTATGAACTTGTGCAGTGTCCGTTTACTTTACTTTTATCCGCCGCATATACCCTTTTGGGTGTCGCGGGAAGAAAGAGACGTCTCTCTGTCGCCAGCCGGAGAGCTTGGGTCAGGGGGATGCCGTGGGTATTTAATGTTTCCCTGACCCCATCTATCGAGTACTTTCTTGGACCTCTAGCCTTGTTGCCATCGAATTTTTTTTTATGTAGGCCCGTTGTGCTGTTCCCGAGAACATTAAAACCGTGGAAGTCATCAAAATTTGCACACCATTTTCTCGCTGACTTTATCTCTGACACCTGGTGAGCCACTCCTTCAATTGCAAATATCTCGACTTTAAAACAAGATAAATTAGTAGCTTTTAAATCAAAAACAAAATAAACGAACAAGCTTTAGGGTGATACAAATAGCTCTATATGCCCCCACAAATTGACGAGCGCCTAATTCTAGCATGTCATGTCACATTTTTGGAGAAAGAAATAAGCAGGGTAGATCTACTAGTCCTTAACTCATCACAGATCCCGTAGAACATTCATATAAACTCAGTCAAGCGAACAACCATTTGTTTGGCAGTTTGGTGGAATCAGGCTCTCGTCAAAATAATCAAAGTGAAGAAACTTGCATTTTTCCACAGGTATGTCAATTTTTATCAAACTTTTGTTTTTTGGCTCAACACCTTTCATGCCCATTAAAGAACTCATTTCTGAGGGATTTTTCTTAAAAACGTTGATTAAAGGCACAACAAATGTAAATTTTCAGTTACCACGGAATCTTAAGCTATGGAAATAACCAATCTTTGGCGGCCATTTTCTCATTAATTTTATCTCTGAAAACAGGTGACCCCCACCTCCTTCATTCGCAAATATCTCAACTTGTACTCAAGATAAATGGATGTTTTTTTCCATTGAAATAAAGATAAGCGAACAAGTTTTAAGATGACGCCAATAACTCTACATGCCCCAAAATTGACAAGAGCCTGATTCCACCACGCTGCCTCACATTTAGATAATTCGAATCCCGGTATTTTTTAAATTGTTGAATTATATCACGTTTAAACAAGCCAAGTCGAAAAAAATCCTGAAAAATAGGTTAAGTTGTGGTCGGATTAATGTGTCCGAGATTGTTTTCCACTTGACCCATTGTTAAAGTTTGAAGATAGAGCTGCTGACATTTTGAACTGCGAAAGTGAAAAAAAAACCCATGAAACAGATCGTGTAATCAATTTGGTTACTTATGGAAGGAACAAAATCAGGGAATGATCATTTATTTGGTTATTTGTGAAATAAACAAAAATAGGGAATATATTATTTATTATTCGTTTTCTTGAAGAAGAGACAAAAACAGAGGACATAATTTTATTTAGTTACTTGGGGAAGAGACGAAAAAAAAATAGGAGACAAAACAATGGTTCATTCTTGTTAGAGACAAAAAAAACAAAACAACAACAACAACAACAACAACCTAATGACGTAGGAAAAAGCAACAACCAGGGAACATGTTGATCATTAAGGCCTATTCAGCTACGTGTGGCAGAGACCCAAAACAATCATTTCAATTTTTAAAAAAATTATAATTAAAAGAAAAAAAAAGGATTTATTTGGCTACTTGTGGAAAAGATCAAAACAAACCCCCCAAAATCCCAATCCAACCCAAAACAAAACAAAACAAAAAAATCCCAACAAAAACCGTAGTATTACTAATGATATATTAATTTGGTCTCTTGCGGAAGAAATATCAAAAGGTGGGTGCGTTATCTTGCCCAGGTGGTCCAGGTAAGGTAGCTGTCAGGCTCTTAAACACGCGCTGTCTCATTGTGAAGAGGTCCCCAGGGGTAAGGTCCCCAGGAGTAGGGAGAAATTTTTGACGTGACCATAGACACAGACCAGGGGTTGTGCTGGAGTGAAGGTGGGGGGTGGGGGGGAGGGGAGGAAACTTTGACAATGTGACCTTAGACACAGCAACCTGGTCGGTGATATGAGATATCATGTTGGTTTATGGACAAAAACGAAACGAACAAGGCCCCTTAACCTGGGGCCGAGAAGAGAAGGGGTGAATAC